GCAAATACAACTAAGTACAACCATGTAGCGGGCACATGCTGACGGTTCTGATAGCGAAGCCTTCGACTTAAGGGGTGCACACTTTGCATCACCTTACATCTGGGGGGTGAATTGTAGTGACTTGCTTGCTTTCTGTTTGTGTCAAAACTAAGGGGCTGGCATTGGATGCTTCAAAGAAGAAGCCAACATCGCGAAAGGGTTCCCAGCGGCACATCCCGGTGTTGTGTGTGGTCCAATCTGTCGGAGGCTTCTGGGTCAGATCGTGGCCAAGTGCATCATCGACAATCGTTTGGTGGACATCCAGCAGGGCGCCTAAGAGCTCGCGAGAGGTCGCGAGAGGTCGCCAGGTGGTGCCATGGTCCAACCACTCTAGGGGCACCTTGCAATTCCATTCTTTTCAGGCGTCCTGCTTTCAAAAAAAGCCGTCCAAAAGCCTGGGGAAACAGCTGGCTTTTGAAAAGAACGATGGTTGAAAAGAATGGACAAGGAATCAACCCCTAGAACCCTTTTGCTTGGGCTTGGTAGATGGTCAAGTTAGGAAATCTGGACCTGAGAAAGCCATGACCTTGGACCCTAGTGTTGACGCCGGCGCATTTGAACTTGTCTCAAATGGGGGTGGGTTCCCTTTGGTTTCCCGAAAAAAAGGAAAAAAAAACAAAAAGGGTACCCTCAAGACAGACTACCCATGTGTTTGCAAGTGTTTGCCTCTTTGATTTCATCAGTGATCATGTGACTCATGGCTTTGAGAGGCATTCTATGCTGACCCTTGATGACATTGTAGGTCAAATTCAACTTTTGATTTGGGGCAATCCATTTTAAAAACTGAAGGCCTCTTAGTAAGGTCGCATGAAACCTTTGCAGCCATTTTGGATGACCTTGAATTTAAGCAGCAGGCAGTGCTATAACCCCTGCAAGCACTTTGGGCGATCGCCGGTGTGTTTGATGGTGCTACAAGTAGTGACCTTCAGGTGCCCTCGCTCAAAGTTCTCCCCCCCATACCATTTCTCCGGAAAGCAAAACTTGAAATGGCAGTGAATCAAAACCAATGGGATCCCATTTTGGGGTAGGTGCACCACCCATTTTAGTCTATTTTAGTGGGGATTGGGATGTTCACTGGGGGTATGGGGTTTTGACCCATGGCCAAATCATTCCAGAACATGGATTGCAGGGCGGAAAGCATCTCCGCCATTTCTGAACACCTCAGAAAGGGTCTTGATGGATCTCATTATACCATGGGCCCAATCGAAACTCCATATTTGCAAATCCAATGGAAGTCACATCCCTTGGGCCAGTGGGTAAGGTCCTCCCCGTTCTTTTGGACCACCTGAACCGGAAGTTTTGAGCTCTGAGGCTGCACCCTGCCTTCTGGAGATCCGTGCTGGGTCTGGGAGCCCAAGGCTCACGGCCTTCGGGGTGTCGGAGGGATGGTCGGGGCAAATCGGGGTTGAACCGGGGGCTGAACACATGTGTGATGATTCCCCCTCACTGATTGACAACCCTCCCCCCAGTTCTTTTTCCAGGGGTTTTCTTGGAGGAAAGGACATCGCTCTAGCAGGGACACGCTGCAATGATTCGTGGGGGTGCATTAGTCAGGGGTCAACAGCAGGGCTTGATGTCCTCCATCAGCATAGTTTTTGTTCAGCTACCAGCTTCAAGAGTATCCCTGCACAGTGGGATAGGCAGGGAGGCCGTTACTCGGTATGTCTTGGAGTTGGGGACACATGCCCACGCACCAGCTGCTGGCAAAAGGTCAACACAGACAACATGCGGTGCGCCATGTTTGCTTGTATTTGATGGCACATGTTGGGCCACTTTTGTTTGTAAGTCATTCGTTGAGATGGTTTTTGCAAGTTTGCTGGGTATGGCTACAGTACAAGGGTTTTGCTGGGTCACAAGTTCTTGCCGTTTTTACGCTAACGGTGCTACGTTGGCTGCGTTTTATTGGATGGGTAGTTTGGTCTTCAGGTGGAGTGACTACGTAGGTCCAGGGCTTTTCAGAAGCCCATTTCAGTTTGCCCAGAGGCTTCTGTGGCCTTGGGGCTTGCCGCTTCTGGTCATGGCCATTTGTGGCTTCAACAATGAAATAATAAAATACAGTAGATGATGTACCACGATTGCTGGTGTAATGTGTCTGATACGCAAGACGCCCACGGAGCATGTGACGCAGCAACATATGTTGAGGTCGCCTTTCCTTGGGGTCTCGCGCGGCAAATGAGGCACTGCGCCCCTGTCCCACGACTCCTTGCGCGCCGTGGACCCTGAGGCGCGAGGGAGCCGCTCCAGGTTGCCCTCTTTCCAGCATCAAAACCAGTCGCCTGATGTTCGGAGGGTCCTGGAAGACGACATGCATTTTGGGGAAGCCACCTATCCACGTCCATGGTTGTTGGGAAGAGGTTAGCTGGGACGCCCCTTTTTGAAGTGTGGGTTTGCTTGATTCGACGATCGGAACGCGACACTACACAGAAGAAATGTTCTCACATGTTTGGAAGAGGCAAGTTGAGAAAATGCTCATTTGGTCCGACAAGACGCTTGGGTCAAGCGCCGGTTGCGCTTGTGGCCGCCTTTTCATTCGCCTCCGTCCGCCAGCTCCACAACTCCCTGTCGAAGCTACGAGACATGGACGACCTGGAGAGCTTGTGCTTGAGCTTTACCCTGCCAGGCGCGGTTCGGATGTGAGTGTCCAGCCGATTCGGTTGCATCATTTTAACCAGCACCCTCATGATTATTCCGGGCAACTCGCGCAAGCCTTTGTAGGTTTACAACCGAGTTGCCTCCGCAGATGTCAACCCCCTAGGCCTTGTTTGGCGTACTTGACAGGTGTGAATCCTTGCGCGAAGGTGGCTGCTGTTACTTTCCTGGAAGGTCAACCACAGTGTCCGGTGTAGGAAGCCCAATTTGTCCCTGAATTCAGGTAACTTTGCGTAGATCTGCCTGTGTTTGCTTTCTGCTCAACGGCACCTCTCTTGACTGTAACGGGAAAGGCCCCAGCTACCAAACCAAAGAGTGGGGCGTGCACGTTCTGCACTGCGACATAGCATTTCAAACAAATGGCAGCACCACTGCGCTTTTTCCTGAGGATGGACGCCTCAAAAACAGAAGTAGTGTCGTCTCATCAGGAGTGACATTGGGACGAGGTGGTGACAACTCTTTGCTAGGCCAGGGTTCTTTTGTGGATCCCTCAGCCATCCAACATTCAGTCCAACCGTTCACATCCCGGCATGCTTAAGCGCTAGTCTCGTGAGTGCCTATTTGGGGATTAGAGGATGCAACACCAGCTACCGCTTCCAAGCCAAAGACACAAGAGCCGACCTATTTGGCTTCCAAAGTTTGAAGCCTTACTCGGGAAATCCGTCAAAAATGGCTGGTGGATCAATCCCCCCGTCCAAATGATGTGCGCCAAAGGGCCCCGAATTGAAAATTCCGGCTTCGCATGTTTCCAGGCCACTCCGAAATTGAGCTCAAGCCCGGCGGCGGGGGCGTGAACCTCACAAGTGCCTCACCCGGATTGGATGGATGTCGGTGACGGGGGGTGGGAGCTGTGCTTTCCTGTGGCCTGGTTCAGCTTCTTTGAGCCTTGGCATTTGTGAGCAAAACGGATTCCATTTGTCGGAATTGCCCTCGTGTCGTTCTTTGTTCATCACTGTTGGTACTTGGAATGATGCTCAGCGTGATGAACTCAGCTTCAGTTCTTGTAAAAACAGCGGGGCAAGGCAAATATATAGTCGGCGAACTCACACAGCAGCATGCTTCTTTCCGAAATCACGCAACAGCCCGGGGCCTTCTCTTGGATAGCCCCAGACAGACAATGTTTTAAACCCCCACTTCTTCAGTGGCACCTTTTGCCCTTGTTTGTTTGGCGAGTTCTTTACCAACCATGATCAACCCCAAACGGGCCTTCTGTGCGGAGAGTCCAGCGTTGTGAGAGACTGGCCTAGGCGTCCATGTGCCGTCAACCAACCACCAGCAAATTGGCTTCATTTGGTACCCGAAACGTTGCCACCTGGTCTTGCAGTCTCTGGCCGTCCGCCGCAGCTCCCTCAGGTGCCAACCGAGACCAGTTCCTTGCTCGGGCGGCGGAGGCACGGGGCGGAGGTGGGTGAGGGACGCCGAGAGGGCTCAAGGCCCTGCTGGTATGATTTTGACGCCTGAAGGCAAGGTTTCCGAGCTACGAGTTTGCCAGCAACTCCTATGCGGCTGATTCACCAAACAAAGGAGCAAGCGGGAACTTGCAATCTGCTTTTCAATATGCTTTTATGTATATATATATAATTCCTTTTTTGTTTTTTTTTTTTTTTAAAGAAGGAACAAATACACGTATACATACATTTTGGAGAATGGAAGTCCAACAGGTTGGATAAGTTTGCCAGGTTTCAGGATTCATTGTGGGGCATCCTGCCGATGTGGGACGCCTTGCTTCAGATTTATTAACCACTCATATTGAGCAGATCAATGTGGCTCGCCTGCGGTTTGCCACGACTTTGGCTCTATGCACCCGAACAATACCCCTATGTGACTTTGCTTCAATCCATGTTCCTTGCGGGGTTCTTGCCACATTGCACCCCCACCTAAGGCGCATCATCTTGGCCAACTCTCCAATTCCGGGGCGAGACCTTGTGCTTTGCATCAACGCGTTAGCGAGCCTGGGCTTTGAGGTACATTCGCTTTCTTGCAAGCTTGGGACGTGCACGCCCAGGAGAAAACATGGTTTGTTTGGTCGCAGGCGCAAGCAGAGAAGAAAGACACTGATTATCAGGGTCGGGCAATCCTGCTTTTGAACAGTGTGTCAACCACTATGGCTGAAACGATCTGCTTTGAAAATCTTGCGTTTTCTGGGATGTCCGACATCATTCAAGGGCGATCAGATTCTGGAAATGATGTGAGTTGCCTCAAGCAGAAAGGAAGAAGCTAAGGACTTTATCCCAATCATTGAGTTTTTTTGTAAGATGAACGTGTTCTATGCTTTGTGTACGTTGATCAGCAATTGTCAACTGTGTTCCCTCATGTCAGCCTCGTCCCTTCGGTGATGGTTAACCTTCCTTCTTTGTTGGTTGACCAAGCAAGGGAAGACCGAAAGTCGAGGCCGACCCTTTGTTCCCAGTCCTGAAAGCAAAAACAACAGCAATATGGCCATGGGTCAAAACTTCATACCCCCAGTGAACATCCCAATCCCCACTAGAATAGGCTCCAAAAAGGGTGGTGAATTCACCCACCACCCAAAATGGGATCAGCCAAAACGGTTTTATGACCACCACAGCCATATCTGTGCACCGGGCCTGGGGCACTTCCAGAACGGCGGCGAGTCGCTCGTCCGGCCAGGTGTCCTTGGTGGAGGCCGTGGCACCGCAGGTGAATGCCTTCCGCTCGGCCGGCGGCCCCAAAATTGCGGCGAGCGAGCGAGGTCCGTTGGCGGGCGGCTCGTTGGACTTCCGGGAGGTTTCTCAAGATGGGCGGAGCCCTTTTTGGGCGGTGTGTTAAAAGGAAGCCCAAAGGAGGCCTCAACTTGAATCAGCCCATGGGGTTGCCCCATTTGAGAAACACTCGCTTGACATATGTTCAGCCCCTGTTTGGTGAAAGCCTTGCTTGAAGGAGCGGCAGCTTTTAGGGTGTATGCGACTTCTTCTTGCCGCGCGAAGGCAGGGTGACCCACCGGAGCTAAATGAAGACCGCCTTCCTGAGTGGCGCCCGACCCATTTTGGCTTGAACCTTCCGGACGCTGAGCTAGCTTGGCCAGTTCTTGGATTGCTTCTTGCGTAGATGTGTCATGTGCGATGTTTTTCTTTTCTTTTTTTCAAGCATGGTAGGGTCCTTTGGCTGCTTCTTTCTGTGGCTCCAGTGGGTTTTAACATAACCTGTGCAAAGTCAAACCAAGTAAGAACTCAGAATAAACCAACATACCAACATACCAACCAATTAGCCAGAGAACCAGAAAGACAAGAACGCCCAAACTAACACACCACCGAAGCAGCCAAGAAGCCGTGCCGTAGGCCTTCAAGGAGCTGCTGCCGCTGGAGACCTGCCGCATCTGGTCGGAGCAGGCGTGGTGAAGCCGGGTTCTTCCAAGGGCCTGAAGGGGCGCTTGCGTTCGGTGTCCTTGTTGGGTTAGATTGCTTAACAATAGATGGCACTAGGTGTCCTTCTTGGGTTGGTTTGCTTAAAAATAGATGGGTTCCGCTGGTTTAGATGGGTTATTTCATTTACGGGCGCTTAGTGAAGCCGGGCTATGACGAGCGAAGCTGGGGGGGATGAATCGAGTTTGTGGTTTGATTTTGGAAAATACCAGCAATGTGTGGTGTTTCCCAAAGGATCCTCTCGGGGTTTCTCAAGCTGATTTTTGGCTTTGTGAATCTTGCAGGGACGTTTTGGAGTTTGAGGAGTTTGGCTGCAGACAACCCAGGTTTGTTGGACTTGAGTTTGAGTTTGCGCTTTCCTTTTTTGGCGGGGGGCGAAGCAGAGATGACTTGTACGCGAGCCAACTGAGCTCGTCCAGGAGCTTTCCTGCATCATCATGGGCGCCTCCGTCATGGACGATAGCTTTTGGAACTTGGAGCACCTCTCAGCCAACATCAAGGCGAGGCTCGAGTGATGTGCCTCAAAGGGTCTGCACCCTTCTGGTTTGGACATCCCCGCATGGATTGCGAGTCTTCAGCACCTGTAGCCATGCACCTGGAATTTCTCTCACGGCCAATGTTGATCTAGGTAGATGCGGCTGCAAGCAAAGACCCACACAGGGAGGAGACTCTGCCAGTGGGCTCTGGCAGAATCAGGCATTATGTATCCAGCGACGGCACATGCTCGCCAACCACTCATTTGGGTTCTGCCCACACCCAAAAGTGAGCTCACTTCGTGGATTTGTCTCAGAAGGGGGGGGAACAGGCTAAATGGGCCCTGCTCTCTTGCTTTTCCCAAAACAACCGGATGCCTTCAAGGAGGACGCTATCAGAACGTTCGCCATGCCCCCCGCCCCCTTCCAGGCCCAGCACGGCTACACCGCGGATTCCAGGCTGGAAAGTCTGTAGTTTATGTTCCAGGGAAAGCGTCTTCCAGGGACCCTCGTTCAGATTGTAACTTTGCTTTTCCAGGGATGGTATAAAAAGCATCAAAGCAGATAAAGCGGCTCTTTCGACCCCTGCAAGGCAGCTGTTTCAGGCAGCTGGGGCCCAACTGTGGCGCACTGATTCGGTAATAAGACTCAGCCGGTGCACGAAACGTGTTGGTCCTTGGTCGGCGTGAAGACTTTCTTCTGACAAGACCTCTAAGAGTAGGTAGATGGCTGTGCGAAGATTCCAGCCGTACAGCACATGACGGCTTCTCAGCGACCGGGCAGCAGAGCAGGGATTGAACATAGATGTGTCTAACAAGCCAGTCCCTGCTCCGAGTCCATGAGTGAATCCCGTGACGGGTTGAAGCCTGCAGCTTGTCACTGTCTCCAATTTAGGGGGCCCGCAAGAACCACAGCCGCGTGCAGGTGCTTCACAGATTTGCTGACCTTCCTTTCTGATCTCTCCCCCGACAACAGGCTGGGTCAGACGAGGACCAGTGCTCATATTTCGGCCGCTGTCGGAGATTTGTTTCCCTAGATAGCTGAAAGCTATAATATCACCAAGTGCAAGACTCCCCCCCCACAAGAGCCCCCCCCCAAAAAAAAATCACAAGGCCGGCTCTGTCTTGCTGAGCATATTCGGGGCCAAACTTGGGAGCTCAAATGAGGCATTGCACCCACAGCAGGGCTCAGCAATTAGCGACAGAAGCTGTAGTGGGCAAGCTGGATTACGCCGTTTTGGCTTAAGTAAGCCTAAAATGGCCTTAACTTTTTTTGGGGGGAGTGTTGCAAGCCGAGAGGGGTCACTTAGACCCCCCCCCCCAAAACAGTTAAGGCCAGGTTGAGCTTAATTGAGCCTAAGAGCTCGGATTGCCCGGAATTGGCGTCAATTGATTGAATCTTCTCCTTCACCTGTAAGGTCTCACTCCCCTCAAAACCAGTGCATGTCACAGTTGCCAGGGCTGGGTAGGCTCAACAAAGCTTAATTAAGCAACATTTAAATTTGCCTTCCTAGGCTTAACTAAGCTAAATTATGCTTATTTAGGCTTAATCAGGCTCAATTAGGCTTGATTTGGTCCAACTACTTGTGCCAGCCCCAACATGATCTTAACTTCTGGGGGGGGGGAGTGTTGGGGGGGGGGGGGGTTTTGCACTTGGTACAATACTTCTAAAAAGAGGTGGGGTTTGTGCAGCGAAATCATTCGGGCCAGGTGGGGGCTGACAGGGTGCTTGGTCAGGGTGCGAGCGGGTTAGGGTGCTGTTTTGGATGCTGGTCTTATGGGTGGGCAAATCTCCGATGCTATTTGGGGTCTATGCTGGTGTAACTTTTGCCAGAGCGCGACTTCGAAGCAGGCTAGTGCATTTGATCCACTACTGTTGACACATTGCAGGCGCATGTTTGATTTCCACCAGAAAACGCGTTGCGAGGGTGTGTCGGCGAAATGTAGCATGGTATATTGCAGTCCGTTCTGAAGTTCAATGAAATTGGTGAGGATCAGCCTTTGAGTTGTTCGAAGTCCTACTGCAGAACGGGTACGCTTAAATCCTAAAAGCCAAGCAAGCCGTGGCTGCCTCGAATGGTGGAAGTGAACATGTGTTGATCTGTTCTCAAGCTTTGCAGATTGAGTCATTTTTGTTGCCTGACTTTGTTATCACTGATAAGAGCCCGCACAGTGGAATCATGGTATGTCTTCTCTCGTAACGGCTCGTACAGTTCAGCAGACCACAGTGGCACAGAGACACAGACAGAGAGCAACAGAGAGAGAGACAGAGAGAGAGAGAGAGAGAGAGAGCGAGAGAGCGAGAGAGAGAGAGAGAGAGAGAGCGAGGGAGAGAGCCACCCACACGCACAGACAGAGAGGCACAGAGACAGAGAGAGGGAGACATAGGGAGACATAGGGAGACAAGGAGAGACAGAGAGAGAGAGAGAGAGAGACAAAAAAGAAAGAAAGAAGCAACAACAGAGAGAAACAAAGAGACAAAGAGAAGCAAAGAGAAACAGAGAGAGAGAGAGAGAGAGAGAGAGCGAGAGAGCGAGACACACACACACAGACATACACAGACACACAGACACACCCACGCACAGATTCACACGGATACACAGGGATACACGGAGACACGCAAACACACAGATGCCCAGATACAGTGCCAGAGATTCACAGACATACACAGATGTACACAGATATACACAGATCTACACGGATATACACTGATATAGATAGATATACACAGATATACACAGATATACACAGACATACACAGACTCCCAGATGCACAGATACACAGCTACACAGACACACACATACACACACACACACACAAACACAACACACAGCAGCACACAGTACACAGCACGCTCGGGTGATATTTTGCTTGGGCGGTAGGCACGTGCGGAAACCTTATGGCCAAAATGCCATGAGGTCGCCACCAGTGGCCATGACAGTCAGCAAGCCTTACGGTGCTTGCACCTTGGAAGCCCACCGGTGGCGGCAGGCGCAACTTCCTGATGTTCGCCACCGGCCCTGGCACCCGGCTTTCTTGAAAGGTGGATTCGGCGAAGGCAGCCAGACAGCTTGATGGGCAAGCAGAGTGTTTGAGTAGATGGGACAATCTAAACAGCAGTATTCAGCTTGCGAAATCGAAATCAGATGGATCTGGCGTTGTGAATCATGCTTTTTCCATGATTGTTGGAAAGAGGGAATAGACAAACCGGGAAAAACAAACATCTCCCATTTGGGGATACCTGTTTTGTACGCACCTGTATGATATTTCCTCAACTCTTGGTGGCTTCATTCAGTTCATTTTGGTCGACATCTACAAGCAGGGACTTGAGTAGCCTTGGCAACTGGACCACAAAGACACTGAGTGGCACCAAAGCGCAGGTCAACCAAGTATTCAGGTAAGGAGGTGTTTCTTCTTGGACAGCTTTCTCAGACGCTCCAACTCACAAGTGGCCAGCATGGTCGCTAGGGCGGCATGCTTCCTGTGGCGGGCAGAACGACAACTCACCGCACCAGGGGGGAATTTACCAGTTGTTCAGTGACTTTGTTTCTCCCTGTTCATGGAATCCTCACTAGGACGAGCCGTGCCCGCAAAAGGCTTGCCCCCGACTCACTGGTTGCAACTGACGGATTTCGGCCCACTGCGGACTAGGCGCACCCACGCTGCCGCTGGGCGGTTTCGGGGGTCTCAAGCCCCCGCTGACCGTGGTGAAGAAGGCCGTTCTAGACCCGAGGGAGCGAGCGGAGCGAGGAAGCCCAAGGGGCCCCGGTTCGGTTCGAGGGACCTCAGGTGTGTGTAGCTTTTGTTGAGGTGGACCTCAGTGATGTGTGGTTTCCTTTTGTTGAGGTCCTCGGCTTGACCTACTGCGCTTCCGCGCAGTGTGTTCCGCGGCAGGAAGCGCCTCCAGCGCCACTGACGCATCGCTGACAAGTTTGATTCGGGAGCCTGGCAACGGCCCGGACATTTCGGCGGGCTGCGGCACTGCGAAGCTCCACTGTGAAACGGTTTGTGGGTCGGAATCCCTTGGAAGCCACCGGCAAGGTGCTGTGAGTTTCGCCGTGGCCTTTCGCTTCTTTGAGGTTGGCAAAAATTCAGGCGCCATATTGGTAGCCCCATGAAATGGTGGCACGAGGCAGGACCAGGGTCCAAGAATGGGCCATAGTTAGCCATGCAGCATGGGTCCCGGCTGCTGCAGCGACCAGTTTGCTAACAAAGCTCGAGGGATAGCGAGACATGTGTATCCAAGAGGAATAGATTCCTGTTGATGCAGGGTGGCTGTGTTGCGATGCTTGTGTGTGTGTGTCTTGGTTGTTCCGAGTTCTCGCTTTTTGTTGTGTTGTTCGAGGGACCCCTAAGGAAGTCACCTCCTTTTTGGGGTTCCCCGGTTTTGAGGCAAGATTAATCATACTGAATAGGGTTGCCTGAGGCAGTCGAAAGAGATGGACAGATTTGTGCCATGCTGAGCGGCGTGAGCAGTGGTGATCTCTGAACTGTCCTACCAGAGTGGTCCAAAGTGTTTGCCGCGATTTGCCAGGGGCATAGCAACTAGAAGAAGATATGATAGTTAAGCGTGTATAATGGGCTAAAGCGTTAACCGTAGGTGGTCGCTTGTCTTGACTCTTAATAAGTATCCACTTGGGCCACCATTTTGGCTCAAGTGGACCTTTTGATCTTTTGTCTTGTGATTTGAAATCTTTCTTTCCCCTACTCTCAAAGCCATGTACGCCCCCGCCTACGCTGGTGCCGCGGTAGCAGAGGCCAAGGCTAAGGCAAAGGCCTCCATGGCAAAGTACCTGGCGAGCCTCGTGAAGAGGGAGGAAGAAGGATGGACCGTTTTGGCTGCTGAGGTCCCTCAGGCACCTGACGAGCGTTTCTTCTCCAGCGCAGATGAGCTGGAGCAGGCCCCCCTTATCCCGGCCAAGCGCAAGGCAGAGGATGAGCCGATGGAAGATGCAGCCCCTGGGGTGGCGCAGGTGCCGAAGGCCCTGACACGCCCCCCAGGGGCGTTCCTGGAGCTCCTGAACCCGCCGGAGGAGGACGTG